AACTCTAGACAGATGCCTTACCAATTGAGCTACCTGGTTGCCGACGATTGACTCAGTCCAGTTCTGTCACAGTTGTAACATTACAGTAAGAACACAAATGTTACATTTTAGACTGATGGTTGGCACAAAAATAAAAAATGTCCATACTCTATCTACACAAAAAAAAACCCAGATTTACCTGACTTGTTCTAGGACAGAAGGGTTCAGCCATAGGCATGTGACAAATACCAGGTGGAGCATTTTCAGATCCATCATGAAACGTTTGTATTCTTTTCTGTGTTCTACATAGGAGAAAAACAAAAGATTACAATTAGTTTGCACTAGCTGATGTATATAAACATGAAAATAACAATGTGCTGAAAATCTATGCAACAAACCAGCACAATATGTGACAAACTAAATCAATTTGTAACAAATTGACACACTGTAACAAATTGACGTACTAAGTAACAAATTGACACACTATGTAACATATTGGCATACTACGTTACAAACTGACACACTAAGTAACTAACTGACACACTAAGTTACAAACTGACACACTAAGTAACAAACTGACACACTAAGTAACAAATTGACACACTAAGTATCTAACTGACACACTATGTTACATATTGGCACAACTGACACACTAAGTAACTAACTGACACACTAAGTAACACATTGACACACTATGTAACAAATTGACACACTATGTCACATATTGACACACTATGTAACAAACTGACACACTACGTTACAAAATGACACACTATGTAACAAATTGACACACTATGTAACTGACTGTTATTTTCTGTCGGGAGGAACCAGCCATGGTGATCGACTTAGGTTAGTGTAGCTTACTCACTACAGCATTTATCTTTCTAGGGAAGGAAATCAATCTAATCATTCATTGGTTGGTCAAAGGTAGTTAAAAGTGAAACGGACAATTTATCAAACAATTTTAACTGTTTCCCAACATCACATGTCAATGATTATTACCTTTCACTTACTCAAATGGAGGAAATGATAACGCCAGGCTGTGATAAAGATTGTTGAACATTTTGATTTGTTAAGATAGTTAAAAAATAGATATTGGATGATGGGACTATGCTAAAACCTTTTGATATTACGTAAACCTAAAAATGAACCCACCTGTCAATGAACTGGTCCAGGACAACAATTTCCCCCGGGTGTATGTTTTCCTGTAGGGATCCGCATGCAGTAGTCACCAAAAGATGTGTACAACCGACCATTTTGAGTGCCCATATGTTAGCTCGGAAGTTGACATTGGTGGGCATGGTGGCGTGGGAGCGCCCGTGTCTGGCTAGGAGTACGCATGGCACTCCGGCAATCTCACCAGTCTTCAGACTGTCTGATGGCTGAAAATTATCATAATCACATATCGGTAATGATAAAGATAATAGTTAACTAGTTAAATAGAAGACAATATCTCTTCGTAAGAGTTAGACAAAAATGAAGGTACTTTACCAGAAATAGTTCACTCAATTTTTTTTTGAGGTAAGCAAGAGGTCTTGAAGGCCTGATGAACTAGTTCACCTGGATATTTCGGCAATGATTGGTAGTCTGGTAGCCATCTTGATCATGTGATCAGTTCGAAAATTAAACTTACAAGGTAATAAGGTCCAATGGTAACCTAAATGTACAAGTACCATTTTAGAAAGATTCCGGCCTCCAACACTTTCTGAGAAGAAGCGATAACGATGCTTTATGTCAAATCAAATTTTGCATGTTCATTTGATGATCAGTCCAAAAACTGAATATGCACAACTAAAGACCAACAGGAAGCTCCTTTAGAAATTTGCGACGTTCTAGGAAATAGTCATAACAATCAGTTGTCAACCGTCAAAATCCAAGATGGCCACCTGTCAGCCATGCTGTTCTTCTGATCTGTCACATAACTGAACATCTACCTCTGAAATTTGAGAATGATCACTCCAGAACTACTTGGGAAAACGTGCCCCATCTTTAATTGTCAATGTGGCCATCTGATGATGATGATGGGCTAAGAAGTTGAGGGACAAATGAAAAATGCTGCAAAACAAACTTTGTTCCACAAGCAAAGGATGTTACCGGTGGGGATCCAAAATACTTCGACAAAAATTCTGATATTCCAATTGGATATAAATAGTACTGCCTGCTTGGGACCAAAGTTTTAGTGCAAACAGTTTTAATTTGTTCAAAGCCAAATTAGGTAACTAATACCTGGGTACATATATCTGATATATATATATGTAACGTGAGAGGAAAGATGCACAGCGGACGGGGATTTGAACCAGGGACTTCCAAACTGTGGACAGACACTCTAATCAATCAAGAGACAATAAGAGTCACAAGAAACTAACCTGCAGTCCAGTTCTGCTATATTCCTCCCCCCCCCCCCCCTTCCC